AATAACAAGGCCTCCCAAGATAAAAATCACCATTTCATTAATCTGAATGTCAGAGCAGGCCAACTTCAGCAGAGCAGACATGTCGCAGAAAAAGTGGGGGATCACATTGTCTGCACAGAAAGACAGTCGAGCCATAAGCAAGGTATGTAACAAAGAAATGAATGTGGTCAACCCCCAGGACAGTGCCATCAGGGAGAGACAGAGCTGGGGGCTCATGATGGTGGTGTAGTGCAGGGGGAAGCAGATGGCCACGTAGCGGTCATAGGCCATGGCCACAAGAAGGAAGCTCTCCAGGTCTGCAAACAGCAGGAAGAAGTACATCTGAGTCAGGCATCCCCCATAGGGGATGGATGGGACTTGGCTCTGCATGTTCTGCAGCAGTTTGGGAATGGTCACAGAGGAGAAGCAGAGGTCAGAGAAGGACAAGTTGCTGAGAAACAAATACATGGGTGTGTGGAGGTGGGAGTCCAGGCGAATGAGGATGATGATGATGAGGTTTCCCAGGACAGTGGTGAGATACATGACCAGGAACAGGGCATAGAACAGGTTCTGCTGCTCCGGTTCAATGGGCAGGCCCAAAAGGAAGAACTCAGAGACGATGGTTCGGTTTCTCCTTTCCATATTGCTTTTGTTTTACCTTTTGAAAATCAATAATAATTTGTCTGAAAGTCTGAGTATACAATACACAATATACACATTGCAGAACGTTCAGAAAGGTACTTTTCATTAAATTCCCATGGATCTTAGGTCTTCTCTCAACTGTAACCATATAAAGCAAAGCATCGCCCAAAGTTGTGAGCCAAATGTAACCGTGTTCCAGAATACTATAAGAATGCTCCTTAACGGCACCATGATCACATGGGATCAGATTGCATGGTCTGAAACCAGATAGGAAATAGTGTGGGAAACACTTCTGTTTGCTTTTTGTTTAACGCTGCAAACAGTATCGCTTCGATCAGAGAAAGTCAATCACTGTTCTTTACCATTGCCTTCACAGAGGGATGATGATGGTGATAATAATGGGGGTGATTATAGTGAGAAGAGCAGGACAGTGTTTGCCAGTGCTTACTCTATGCCAAACATTGAACTGAAACTTTAATATGCATGAATTCATTTACTCTTCACAGCAATCCTATGTGGTAAGTACCATTATCTACATTTTATAGAAAAAGTATTTAAAGCAAACACTCCTTAGTAACTTATCAAAGACCCTACATCTATTAGCCACGAATAGCTCTGCAGGAGGAAGACTGGGCTTTCTACTCCTGTAAACAGTTACAGTTTTGGAAACCCACGATGACTTACTATGAGCCAGCATTGATTCGGTGGCAGAGAGACATCTGTTAAGCAACAGAGCTGGGAATTCAATGAAAGCATTGTAACTTCACATGTTGATATTTAGCCAGGGCTGGTTCCAGGACTGATACATATTGAAGGTTGGAATATATTATCAGAGCAACATCTAATAAACAGTGTGGAGATGAATCAGTTCTGAAGGTAAACCATTCTGGGGAAGGGAGTGGGAAATGTTTTTTTTCTTTCTTTCACATATCTAATAATTAAAAAGGAATCACTACAGTCAGCTTCAGATTAGTCAGAAATGCAACCACTCCTTGATCATAGATAGAAAGAACAGCAGGTTGATCAAAATATCTACCTTTGGTGGAGGTGCATAGGATGAATGTCTCTGAAACACTAACACCATGAAAAACACTGCAATTGCAGAGGTCTAAATACAGGCATGTACATATATTTATATTTGATGATGGGGAAATAGATCTATGTAC